AATACTGAGAGAGAAGAGCAGTTGAGTTTGAAACTCGGTGAAAGGGACTGTAAGGGATCTATTGCTTTGCACTGAGGCAAAATATCACCGTGCAGCATCTCCCAGTTATGATCAAGTTTTGGCCGGAACAAATAAAAACATGGTGTATCTAGAAAGGTTCTCTTAAAGTAATGCTTCATGTTCTGCTTCGCTTCTCATTCACCTCAGCAGTTTTCCCTAATGCATTGCAGTAAATTTAACAACTCTCTCATTAAACACCAGGCTGATAAAAACAGCAACTGGGGTACTCATCTAACACACCTGAATGGCTAAGAAATTCAGAAATTGAAAAATCTGATTTAGTCAGCTAATCTATCCCTCTGCAGAAGGGAAACTTTCTAGAACTGTAACTGCACGAAGCATACTGCATTGCATTAGCAAGCTACCTGCGCAGCAATACTGCCACGGGTTTATTTGCATATTTGTACATTTTTATGTTCTTAAAGTAAACTTTGCTTAGTATTTTTTGATCACTCGGTTCCAGTAACACTGAAAGAAGTTTAGTTTAAGCATTATGTGTCTCTTAACCACTTAGAGTCTCCATTGTTAAGTTATAAAAGGACAGCTCTGAAAGGTTAAAATTATCTGTCCTGTGCATTTATAAGATCGGGGGGGAGGAAAAATACCCAGAATTTCTGTCTTTTTTTTGGTCATTGAATTGTTTGCGGGATGAGGAGGCAAGTACAAGTATGGGTTGAGTACTGCCCACCGTTATACAAACCCAATACAACAGATTTTACTACAGTAGTTCAGCGTATTTGATAAAACATCAAACAACTCCTGCATCTGGTAAACTTACTTGAGTTCTGGCAAAGGTGACGGATTTATGAAGAGGTTTCTGAACCTGTATTTTTTGAATCTTGAGAAGTCAGTGGTTACTGATTCTTTGTGAGGCGTTTCAATAATTATGCAAGGCGAGACGCCTCCTGTTATCGTGGGCGGCCAACAACTCTGCAACATAAAGAAGGTATCTTTTAAATGCTGATTTTACTATGAGAGCAAGAAAGGCGAGTAGATTACAGTAACAACAATATATGTAATGTACATTAGTCTTTTTGGACCTCAGCATCGATTCATGTACTGAAACCAAGAAAGCCAGAGAGATTAAATGCCAACAAAGCCTTTCAAGTCAAGACGGAAGATGTATAAACAAATCCAACAAATTTGGGAAACTCAGCTTTGAGGAAGATAACTGTCTTTAATTTATGAACCCACAAGTAACCCGTCCATTGCTTGAGCTGCTCAGTTACAGTACATAAGGCAAAGGTACTCACTGCTACTAAAACACAGGACATTAGGTTGCCGGTCCTATCTACTTATCTACTCAGAGGGAAAAGAAAGGAGAGGGTGGAGGTTCTACTGCCTCTCAGGGGAAATTCAGCAACTTGTTATCTTCCAATTAAGCACTCCAGAGAGGAGCCACCCATCTCAGCTCCAGAGCTAGATACCCACTGAGCAAGCAGCAGCTGTGAACTATCTCTCAGCCTGCCAATGCCAAATATGGGATGCAACGACTCAAAAGGAGAAAAGCCCAAAGTTATTCATGCAGAAAGCTTCGAAGAAGGAATTCTAGATTGCTTTAGTTAACTCTGTAACTTGTTTCACTAATACTTATTTGGTTGTAAATAACCAATACATGTAAGGAGGTATCAAACACATGGAGCATAAGCAATGCTGTAATGGCCTTCAAAATGGTGACACAGAACTTTAATTATGCTCTGTGGAATTAGGGGGAATCCCACTGCCAATGAATGGCAACACCTGAACACAGAAACTTTTCTTATATAGCTGTTTTGCAAGGTAAACTACATACAATTTCCTTAGCATATCTAAACCTATTTATAGCCAGACTAAAGTATCCTAAGAGTGAAGTTACATATTCCAGCAGAATTGATCTTAACAGCACACAGCCAGGAGAAAAGGGAGATCCTTCTCCTTCTCCTCTCCTGTGATCCTCACTGCCCAAGTCCCACCCCTTCCTTCTTTTGTCAGCTTTGATGCTTGTCAGACCCTCTGCTGGGTTGATTCAACTCACTAACCTGGCAGAACATAAACTCATTTTGTAGTGCCAAATTAGCAAGCTGAACCTGCATACTGCTTCATTTAAAGAGAACCAAAAATGGAGTGAGGCAGGGGATGGAGTGCCTGCCTGAAAGAAAGGGGAGCAGGATTTCCCCCTTTCAGCAGAGGCAAATTGTGACACGCAGTTTCACCCCAAGCAAGCTGACATTACTTACACTTACACAGAGTTTGCAAAGACAACTTCACAATCAGAAGTTTTGCTTCACCATAGCTGTTAGTCTCATTTGCTTTACAAACAGAATAACTGCAAACAAGATTGTTTGCAAGAGAAAGTTACATTATTTTACTAACCCACTTTAAAATAAACAACTGTAAAGCCCCTCACTTGGCTTAGGAGTAGTCTGTGTCAGTTAAAACAGATTCCTAAATTGATTTAAATAATCAAAAGAACTGTTAAATTAAAGAGGGCTTGTGTGCTTATGAGTCTTCTTAACTAAATGGCCATGAAACCACACCTTGAATTAAAACAAGTGCAAGGATCTTGTTTAGACTTGCCTCTAGGCCTTACCTGCTCTGCACATGGAGTTATTCTGAAATATCTGGTTTTATTCTCATTTTTACACCTAACCTTACTCTGCAGTGGTTTCCACATTGGAGGACCCTTTATCTGCAACAAAGCCATGCGTAAAAAAGCAAAAACGTATAAAAAGATGCTAAGGTGCAGAGCTCCCATGGTTTTTAATATCTGAAGGTAGAAACTTCCCCTACTCAATACTTTCTAGTGTGGAATGCATGACCTCACACCCACCAACGTAAACCAGATGGACTCCCTCACCTAGTTTGAACCAATAATCAGGATTGAATTACCTTAATCTCATATTGATGCTTTTTAGCAATTTTCCCATCTTCTCTTTTCTTAATCTCCTGCTGAGAAGAGAGAGACACATCAATACACTGACAATGACCAGCACACCCACCTCTAAAGCTAAAGCAAACTGTTGCTACTCCTGCCCCACTTTCTCACTCAGCAGAGTAAAGATTCTCCCATCCAAATGCACTGAAGAACATTCAATATTATTAAACTTTTCAAGTTGCCCAAACTGGTCACCTCTGCTGTTCTCCTTTTTCTGGTCTGGAGATGTTCTGGTGCCTGCAGTTCTTGCGGAGACTCTTCTTGACATGACAGTGGCTGCTGCTGCTTGGCTTGCAACCGGCTACTGCAAAGAGCAAAAAGACATTAGACGTTAGGAGAGCAGCAGTTGTTAAGTGAATACAGATAAGCTTGATGTATTACGATGCTAACAGTTTACCTGCGTCTTGACATCTTCTTTGGGTTGCAAGATCTCTACCTGCACCAAAGGAATAATATAAGCTTGATTAACATATCCTCAAGAAGTTAGGACCAAGTTCCGTGCTTTGCATCATAAGACACATCACAAAGAGCAGCATGGTTTACACAACTGAAATAGAAGGGCGCAAGTATTTTACTGGTGTGAGGAATGCCTGAGCAGATGACCTCTGTGGCGTATAATCACAGGCAGCTCCACGTCCTGCTGGGAGTTACGCTGCTGAAGTGGGTTAACACAGGGGTGCCCGCGTATGCCAGCAGTAAGTTTGGCTCAGGCTGGCTGGGCTCATCTAGCCCGAGGGGGCGGGGGAAGCTGTAAAGGGACATTTCCCACGCAAGAGGATGGGGGGGTGGGGGTGGTGTCCCTGGGGCTGTGACCCCCCGCTCCCTCTACACCCT